TTATTTTTTTAAAGATTTTATTTATTTATTTGACAGAGAGAGATCACAAGTAGACAGAGAGGCAGGCAGAGAGAGGGAGGGAAGCAGGCTCCCTGCCGAGCAGAGAGCCCAATGCGGGACTCGATCCCAGGACCCTGAGATCATGACCTGAGCCGAAGGCAGCGGCTTAAACCACTGAGCCACCCAGGCGCCCCAACATTTTTTAATAATATTGGGCAGAGCATATTTTTGGGAGAATAAAAAGTAATTAAACTGGAAATTATACAAGATTTCAAAAATTGAGAAACATTATGATGTGGCAGGTGTATATTAAATATATAAACTAGCTATATATAAGTAATAATTAGTAAGCATATAGGATAGTCTATCTGAAACTCAGAAGCACGAGGAAGTAGGGAGGAAGAAAAATAAATGGTAAGAAGCAGTTATTTTAAAGATTTTTTTTTTTAAATTTATTTGACAGAGATCACAAGTAGTCAGAGAGGAAGGCAGAGAGTGAGAGGGGGAAGTAGGCTCCCCGCTGAGCAGAGAGCCTGATGTGGGGCTCCATCCCAGGACACTGAGATCATGACCTGAGCCGAAGGCAGAGGCTTTAACCCACTGAGCAACCCAGGCACCCCAAGAAGCAGTTATTCTAAAGCAAGAATTTTCACATGATATTGTTTCCAATCCTGGACTATAAACAAGTAAAATGTATGTGAAGTCATATTAAAAGCTATATTAAAACTTCTTAAATTTTGTGCAACTTAATTGTTTTCTTCACCTGAGGCCCCATTCTATATTCATATAACAATTTAGAATCTTAAACAACACATGTAAGTATATTCACCTTCGGATTATGAATCTCAACAATATTTATATGAGTGACTAAGCTTCTGAATTGTTAATCATAGATTTATCTAGCAGGTAAAAATACACATAATTCCCTATCTATCAACTACTTTTTGGCTCACCATATTTTCTCTTAATTAAGCCTTAAAATATGTGAGTTAAGACTAAAATGCTTGAATTCAAGTCTACTCCATTCTATGTCATATCCCAATATAACAATGAGAAAAATAGTTATGTACCTAATTCTTGTTTATTCACTTAAACATTTTAAGCCTACCAATTGGCTGCAAATTCCTTACGCATGAGATTACGTCTTCTGTTAATTTTTTATTAACTCTGCCTAATAAACTGTTAAAAACCTACAAATGGCCAGCAGAAACTGCCAATTAAGACATCAAGGAAAAAGCAAATTTTGATTAGAGAATGGAGGGACATAAAAAAGAGAACTTCTTAGTATGCATGGAATTTAGCAACCACTCTGTATATTGAGCTACAGAATAAAGGTGAGAGTTAGCTATAGCATCCACTATAATCCAAAATTACATGGTTCTATTTAGTGTATGCAACAGTCACAGACTATTCAGACTCAGATGAAAATACATAGCAATTTTTTAAATATTTGAGTTAGGCATTTTTAGAAGGCACATTAATTATAGGCTGAAACAGAAATGTCCTACAATGGAAAAACAATTAAAACATAGTATATCTTCATGATAAAATATGTGACTGTTATAGTTGTTTAAAAAGTTTTTGAGATGGGGTGCCTGGGTGAGGCAGCTGGTTAAGAATCTGCTTTTGGCTCAGGTCATGATCTCAGGGTCTTGGGATCAAGCCCTGCATCCCTGCTTGGCAGGAAGCCTACTTCTCCCTCTCCCACTCCCCCTGCTTGTGTTCCCTCTCTTGCTGTTCTCTCTCCATCAATAAGTAAATCTTTAAAAAAATTGTAATAGCAAGATTGAAAATAACCTAAATACCCATCAACAGTGATTCATTAAATAAATTATGGTATATCCGAACAAAGGAACATTATGCAGCCATTAAAAAGAATGAGGCAAATCCATATCTACTGATATAATCTCAAAGATATGTTAAACGGAATAAAAGCACAATGGAGAACAATATGTATAGGACTCTGGCAGGAAGAATAATGACCCTTCCCCCGCCAAAGATGTCCATGTTCTAATTCCAGTAAATTGTGAATATGTTATATTACATGGCAAGGGGAATTAAAGTGACAAACAGAATTAAGATTGCTATTCATCTGATTTTGAGGTGTGGAGATTAGCTGGGATTATCCAGGTGGGCCCACTGAACCACAAAATCCTTGCAAGTGAAAGAGAGAGGCAGGAGAGTGGTGTCAGAGTGATACAATGTAAAAAAAAAAAAAATCCAAAAACCAAAAACCAAAAAACTTCACTAGCCATTGTTGGCTCTGAAATGGGGGAAGAGACCAAAAGTCAAGGAACTCAAGCAGTCTCTAGAGGATGGTGAAGGCTAAAACACAGATTCTCTCCTAGAGTCTCCAGAAGGAATGCAGTCATGCTGCCACTTTGATTTTAGGTCAGTGAGACCATTTTAGACTTCTGACCTACAGAACTGTAAGATAATAAACGTGTGCTGTTTCAGTAACAAAAACTAATGCTCTAAAAAAGACTAGTCTGTATATTTTTTTAAAAGTAGGAGAAAACAAAAAAAGAGATATAGTATATGGTAGCATGCATGTAGACTATGTTCTTAAAATTCAGGATTGTTAGTGTCAACGAAAAGAAGAGGCAGTACTGAAATAAAAGCATTTATTTGAGGTCTGAGAATTGCAATTTAGGGAGTTTTTAAAAAATTCTACATCAGGGGCTTTTTAAGACAAAGAATGCTTCTATATGTTGTTTTATAAAAAATTTTAACTGGTGTTGAGGGCAGAAAATTAATCTTAGCTAAACAGAGTTAGTTGCTAAGTCTATCAATAAGAAAAAGTCTGTTACTGTAGTAAGTTGCAGGTACTCCTGCAGAGTCCTGGGAATATTTGCAGTTTAGCCCAGTTCAAAAGTTCAAGGTTCTACCTGATGAGAAGGTGTGTAAACCCCTCCTCATTAATTGCCTTCTGGCCCCATAATGAGGCCTTCTGGCCTCATTAATTGCCTTCTGGCCCCCTTGACTTAAGTTATTCCATTTTATTTTACCAGTCACATTAGAAAATATATCAAAAAGTTACTATTGGCATTGTGTGGGCATTTTTTCCTACTTCAACATATTCTACAAATGTTCTATAATCAGCATGTATTATATTTACAATCAGGAAAAAACTTAAGCTGAAAAAAGAATATGTCACCAAAGCTGTCTAATGTGACTATTTAGGATTATGTAAAAATACTGTAAGTTTCTGGGCACCCCTGTGGGGCTTGGTCGGTTAGGGCTCCTGGGTGGCTCAGTCAAACATCTCACTCTCGATTTCAGCTCAGGTCATGATCTGAGGGGCCTGGGATCTAGTGTTGCATCCAACTCCTTGCTCAGCAAGGAGTATGCTTAAGATTCTCTCCCTCTCCCTCCCACGCCTCAATCTCTCTCAAATAAATAAATACATCTTTAAAAAATAACAAAGATACTGTAACCTTCTGGAGTAGAACTGCCTGGTTTAAATTTTTCTTTTTCTATACATTCCTTTAAAAAAAAGATTTTATTTATTTATTTGACACAGAGAGAGAGAGAGAATACAGCAGGGGGAGTAGGAGAGGGAGAAGCAGGCTCCCCACTCTGGGGTCAAGTGACAGGGACACACTAGTTACCAGCTTCTGGAAGTTGTATAACAAAAAGCTGGAATACTGCTTGGCCACATCTCTTTGTCTTCATTTCTCACTCTTGTCCAATTCCAGGAGAAATCAGACTAACCAAAACTACTCTCCATTCGATCTACTGAAATTATAGATCAGGTAAATGTCACTTTCAACCAGGACCTTAAGATGCAACATTCCTATTCCCTCACCACTCCTTTGCAACATCATACTAGAAATACTACCTATGCACTAAGACAATAAAAGTAAATAAAAAGTATATAAATTGGGGAAGAAAATATAAAACAGTCTTTGTTCACAGACAACATGATTTTATATGCAAAGAATCTGAAGGAATCAACACAAAAACTCCCAGAATTAGTAAGTGATTTTTGCAAGCTTGAAGGATACAGGGTTAATATTTTTTAAAAAGTCAATTGTTTTTCCACTTACCAGCAAAAACAAGTGGAATTTGAAATGGAAAATGCAATACCATTTATATTAGCACCCAAAACCCAAAAATACTTAGGTATAACTCTAACAAAATATGTACAAGATCTATAAAAGGAAAACCACAAAATTCTAATAAGTGAAATAAAAGAACTAAATGGAGATATTCCATGTTCATGGACAGAAAGACTCAATATTGTCACAACATCAGTTCTTCCAACTTGATCTACCGATTTGAGCAATCACAATAAAAATCCCACTAAGTTATTTTATAGATATTGACAAACTGACTCTAAAGTTTATACGGAGGGCATAAAAACCAAAGTAGCCAACACAATCCTGAGGGAGAATAACAAAGAGGTGACACTACCCAACATCAAGACTTACTATAAAGCTACAGTAATCAAGGCCAGGCAATACTGGTGAAAAAACAGACAGAAAGATCAACGGAATAGAACAAAGAGCCCTGAAGTAAATGCCCTGTAAATATAAAGCCCTGATCTTTGGCAAAGGAACAAAGGAAATACAATGGAGTAAAGAAAATCTTTGTAACAATGATGTGGGAACAACTGGACGTCTACCTGGAAAACAATGAATCTAGAAACAGACCTTATATCCTTCACAAAAATTAAATGCAAAACTATAGAACTCCTTTAAGATAATATAGGAGAAAACCTAGATGGCCTTGGGTATGGTGAAGACTCTTTAGATACAACACCAAAGGTATCACCCATGAAAGAAAGAATAGGTAAGCTGAACTTCACTAAAATGAAAAAAACTTTTGCTCTACAAAAGATAGTATCAAGAAAATGAGAAAACAAGCCACAGACTTGCAGAAAATACTTGCAAAAGACATATCTGATATTGGACTGTTATCCAAAATATACAAAGAACACTTAAATCTCAACAGTAAGAAAATAAACAATGTGATTTTAAAAGTAGGTCACTTTACAAACCGTAAGAGACTCTTAATCTCACAAAACAAACTGAGGGTTGCAGGGGGATGGGGGTAGGGTGAGGGTGGTGGGGTTACCGACATTGGGGAGGGTATATGCTATGGTGAGTGCTATGAAGCATGTATACCTGGCGATTCACAGACCTGTACCCCTGGGGCGAATAATACATTATATGTTTATAAAAAAATAAAATAAATTAGAAAAAAGGTCACTTTATCATCATATATAAAGAAACGCCAAGCATTTGAAAAAGTCATTATATGTCATAATAGGTCATCAGAGAAACAGAAAACAATGAGGTACAACAACCCACATATTACAATATCCAAAAGCTGGAACCCTGACAACACCAAATGCTGGTGAGAGTGGAGCAAAAGGAACTTTCATTCACTGTTTATGGGAATGCAAAATGGTACAGCCACTTTAAAAGTTAGGCAGTTTCTTACAAAACTAAACATATTCTTATCATACAATCCAGCAGTTGTGCTCCTTGATATTTACCCAGAGGAGTTGAAAACTTAAGTTTTCAAGTTACAAAAACCTGCACGAGGATGTTTACATTGGCTTTATGCATAACGGTCAAAATTAGAAGTAACCAACATGTCTTTCAGTGGATCAATAGGTCAATAAACGTTGGTACATCCAGACAACCACCAGGAATATTACTCCAGTGCTAAAAAGAAATGAGCTCTCAAGTCGTGAAAAGAACCTTAAATGCACACTATTAAGTGAAAGAGGTCAATCTGAAAAGGCTACATACTGTATGATTCCAACTATATGACATTCTAGAAAAGACAAAACAACGACTAGTAGTTATAGGAGGTGGGTGCGAATAAGCGGAGCACAGAGGATTTGGGGATCAGTAGAACTATTTTGTATGATACCATAATGAGGGATACAAAGCATTAAACACCTGTCTAAACCGAAAGAACAGACACCACCAACAGTGAACCCAAAGGTAAACTATGGACTTCGATTATGATGTGTCAATGTAGAGTCACAAGAATCGGAAATGTTGGTATTAAGCGGAGGCTCTGCACGTATTCAGGTAAGGGGTATATGGAGAATCTCGGTGACTTCCAGCTCAATTATCCGATGAATCCAAAACCACCCTAAAAAAGAATTCCTTTTTTAAAAGGGCCCAATATTCTTGCTATTCTTGGCCGCATCATAGGCTTTAACACCCACGCGAGGAACCAAGATTCTAAGCCAGTCCACTGAGAGCGCAGCGAGGACCCCCATGAGCAACAGGGCGTGGTGCTGCCGCAGAAGTCTCGCAAAGCGCTCCAACTATAGGTCGGAGGCCAGAGAGCGTGCCGGACTGCGAGCCAATCGTGGGCAGCCTTTCAGGGACCCACAGAGGCGGGATCCGCGCTTACCAGGGCCCCCAGCGGTCGCTGTCATGGCGACGGCCAACCGCAGTCCGCGGAGGCGCGGAGCTGTGGGCCACCGCGGTTGAGCTTCACAGGTGGCGTGGAAACCCTGGAAACCCGATTCAACAAACGACACACAAAGGAGCCGCCTCCCTCGGGCCACGGACCTCCTAGGTGAGGTTTCCAAGCGGAGGCGGAAAGAGAAGCGGTGCGCACGCGCAGAGGCGAAGGCTCAGTTTCTCCAGCGCGCAGTCTCGAGGTTGGCGTGCGCGGTGCAAGTGTCGCGCGAGTTGCTCCTTTGAGAGAGTCAGAAAACGGGTAGTTCTGAAGAACTCTACGTCAGGGAAGGCGGAGGATGAAGCTCCAAGATTGAAAGAAGTCACTGGTGTGGGGTACGATTTTCCAAAGTTGAATATATTTTCTCTTTTTTATTTTAGTAACATCCTAAAATGACATGGAATCATTTCCTCGTAAAAACGAGTGTTTCTTCACAAGGGTACCAAAGTTAACTTAAAATTTTCTGTCTCCCTCTTCCTACCAGTGTTCATTCACGAAACACTTGTAGCAACTGGATTCTCTCACTCGTTGCCTTTTTTGCCCACAACTCTTTACTTTCCGCAGCCAAACTGAAACTAGAAAAAGACCTCAGTGGAAGGTCTCAGTCAGAGCACTGACATTTTCTCGCCCTGTGACTCTAATACATTTCAGTCAGTCGTAAAATTAGGATGACACATCACCGCACACATAACGCAAATGGCAGCCCTTCAGATTTTAATATATTGTAGTCTTTGCCCACTTGGGTTGTAATTATTTCAGTTTGTCTCCAGTCAGGCTTCCAGTGTTCTCTGGAGGTTCTCCAGCTGAGTCAAAAAGATTTCTTGAGTTTCAGAAAACGCTAAATTCTAATGATTTCAGTGTTTTTTTTTAAATCGTTGAGATATACAGTTGGTTGACTCCTATTTGATTTGCAGTTCCCTAATGATAAAAATGTTATCCATTTAAAGTGTCCAAGGCAGTGTATTCATAGAATTTTGTAACCACACCACAGTCAACTTAACATTTAAGTCACCCCAGGGCAGTTACTTTCCATTTCTTCCCCAGCGCTGTGCAACCACAAATCTACTTTTTGTCTCTGTAGATTTGCCTATGCTGGACACGTCACTTAAATGGAATCATACAGTGTTAGTCTTTTGTGACTGGCTTCTTTCACTTAGCATGTCTTGGCAAGGTTCCTCAGTACTGTAGCATGCATCAGTACTTTGTTCTTCGTAGCCAAGTAAAATTCCATTTTTGTATATACCACACTTTATTTGTCCATTCACCAATTAATGGACATTTGCATTGTTTCTGCTTTCGGACTGCTAATAACTAATACTGCTTATAAGCATTCGTGCATAGATTCTATATGGAAGTATGTGGAAGGAATTTCTCTTGAAGTAGAATTGCTGGTTAATATGGTAACCTTATGTTTAACTTTTTGAGGAATTGCCAAACAGTTTTTATTTTATTTTACTTTATTTTATTTATTTATTTGAGAGAGAGTATGAGCGGGAGGGGCAGAGAAAGAGGGAGAGAATCTCAAGCTGACTTCATGCTGAGTTTGGGGACTGACACAGGGCTTGATCTGAAGACCCTGAGATCATGACCTCAGCTGAAATCAAGAATTGGATGCTTAACTGACTGCACCACCCCTGCTGAACAGTTTTTAAAGGCAGATCTCCCGTTTTTGCATTCTCCCCAGCAAGGATTAAGAGTTCCAATTTCTCGGGGCACCTGGGTGGCTCAGTGGGTTAAGCCTCTGCCTTCGGCTCAGGTCATGATCTCAGGGCTCTGGGATGGAGTCCCACATCCGGCTCTCTGCTCAGCAGGGAGCCTGCTTCCCCACCCCCCCCCGCCTGCCTCTCTGCCTGCTTGTGATCTCTGTCAAATGAATAAATAAAATCTTAAAAAAAAAGTTCCAATTTCCCTATATCCTCAAGAATAACTGTTATTATCTGTTGATTTTTTTTAAAAAATTGTAGCTATCTAAGTGGATAATGAAGTAGTATCTCATTCTGGTCTTGATTTGCATTTCCCTAGTGATTAATAATATTGAGCATATTTTCAAGTGCTTATTGACTATTTTCTTTGGAGAAATGTTTATTCAAATCACTTGCCCATTTTTAAAAGAGATTTTATTTACTTATTTATTTGAGAAAGAGACAGAGAGAGAGACAGCACGCAAGCTGGGGGAGCAGAGGGAAAGAGAGAGAGAGAATCCCAAGCATATTTCATGCTGAGTGCAGAGCCCGATGCAGGGCTCAGTCCCATGACCTGAGATCATGACCTGAGCTGAAACCCCAAGAATCAGACACTTAACCGACTGAGCCACCCATGTGCCCCTTTTGCTCATTTTTCGTTGGGTCATTTGTGGGCTTTCTTTGTTGAATTATAAAAATTCTTTATAAGGTCTGACTCCTAGTCCCTTAACATACATGATTTGCAAGTATTTTCTCCCATTTTGTAGGTTGTCTTTTCACTTTCTTGATGCTATCAGCTGCACTTCAGAAGTTTTTATGGCCTATTGGTTATGGTATTAGGTCAGTTTTTGTAGATTTTACAGTTATGAATTGATTCAATTAAAATTACTCTTTACTGTTCATTTGTGAGAGCTGTACACTGAAGTATGTGTGGCATAAAACAATGATGTCTGAGATTTGGTTGAAAGTACTCCAGCAAAGAAATAAAGGGATAGATGAAACAAAGGTAGAAAATCTTGAAAATTGTTGAATCTGAGGTTTGTCATAGAATGGGCACATAGAGCTATATCATCCTATTCTCTCTACTTTTGTGTAGGGGAAAATATATTTTTATGCCAAATACATATCTGATTACTTTTTTTTGGCACAAAGGAAAGGTTTCATATGTTAAGGGTATATGGTGCATTGAAGGAAGAATAGCAGATAAACAGAGCCTTACGAGGTTAGAGTGTGAAAATTAAGCATTGACCTGAAAATTTCGAGATACTTTTGATGATACATATTTATAAATAGGAGTAAAGTGTGTACTGTTAGTTCTGAGTAACCTAATCTGGGTGGGAGTGGTAACTTTAAACAAGGTGAAGCCATTTGTGGAAGTATGACCTTTGATTTAGTATACATAACTCACTCTTGAGTAAGTATAGCTGGCCTTAGGATTTATTTTCCAGTCAGCACTTATGTGTATCTGTTTCTTTGTTTGTTTATTTGCGTGTGTATGTATATATACATATATATATGTAAAAAATTTTTTTACATGTATGGTTGACCCTGAACAATGTGGAGACATGGAGGGTTAGGAGCACTGACCCCCTGCACAGTTGAAAATCTGTGTATAACTTTTGACTTCCCCAAACCTTAGCTACTGATAGCCAACTGTTGACCCAAAGCCTTACCAATAATATAAACAGTTGATTAACAGACATTTTTTGGTCAGATGTATTGTATATTGTACTCTTACAAGAAAGTAAGCTAGAGAAAAGAAAATTAAGAAAATCATTAAAAAATCATAAGAGAAAGTAACATTTACAGTACTGTACTTAATCAAAAAAATCTGTGTATAAGAGACCTGCATAGTTCAAAACTATGTTCTTCAAGGGTCAACCGTGTGTGTGTATATGTGTATACATATAATATTTGTAAATATTAATATTTATGTTTACTATATTAAATATATTTTTTATAGTTTTCTGGTCTGTATCTTGTTCTTTACAAGTTTTCTGTCAGCCTAACTGCTTATTTTTTTAAGTATAAAGCAGTCTATCTTCAACCTCTGGTTGCCTGTAATTACTTTTTAATATGCCTACATTGATAGCTTCCACTTACTTTGATACCCTTTTCTCAGGCTTACTCTGCAGTTCAGAAGACTTTTTTTTTTTTTTTGTTTTTTCTTTTAGTTTTATTTTTTATAAACATATAATATATTTTTATCCCCAGGGGTACAGGTCTGTGAATCGCCAGGTTTACACACTTCACAGCACTCATCATAGCACATACCCTCCCCAATGTCCATAATCCCACCCCCCAGAAGACTTTTTTTTAAAGCAAACGATGCTTAATGTAATCTGCCAAATTTGGAGTCTGCAATGCATTCTTTCTTCTACATAACTTAATGCTAAAATCTGAGGATCCCACTAATTATAAATTCTCTAAATTTTGATTAAAAACAAAAAAACTAATGTAATTCAGTGTAATTCAGGGTTTTGAGAATTGAGAAATTAAATATATGTATATAACTTGGTTCCCTTTAGCTGCTTAAATTTTTTTTTAATTTAATGGATTTGTCAGACATTTTTGCTACTTCACCCAATTAGCTGTGTTTACTTACAGTGTTAAACAATTCATGAAAACACATATATTTATGGAATTAAAAATAAACCTTACACACCATGTAGAATATGAGCACTGGTTATAGTGAGAAGAGCAATGGTCCGAAGGAGACCATTGGGTTCTAGTTTCAGCTATGTGACCTCTAGCTATATATGTAGTCTTTGCGCCCTTGAACTAGGATTTCATTTTGTTAGTGAAAGTAGGGACATTTCATTAGATGACCTTAATGCTTTTTTTCTGCTTCTGAAATTATAAGCAGAGCCATCAAAGCTCTGCATAAATTTAATAGAGATTAGTTTGGAGAGTCCTAATTGCTAAAAAGTTTCTCCTTAAATTCCAATAGTTAGTTCCTAGATGTGTGACTTTAAGCAAGTTATTCTTTTATTATCTTGTCTATGAAATGCAATAATAAACCACAGGTAAATTTCCTTTTACTGAAGTCTGCTCTCTCTGGTAATCACCAAAGCCACTCCAGGTTTTTTTAAAAAAATTTAAGTGCCTGCAAGGTGTATTTTTTACTCTTCTTTTTACTTTTTACTTTTTAGTTTTAGTTTAGTTTAGTTACTTTTTACTTTGTAGCCTATATATTCCATTATATTTCAGAAAGTTTCTTGTAGATAGTATATAATCAAGTCTTGTTTTTTTAGCTAGTCTGTATGTTTTAATTACTATACTACACCATTTCAGTTTAATTTTTTATT